TCCGCCTCCAGCCAGGGCGCTGATGCCAAGGACAAGGGAGCCCCAGCTCCAGCTGCCACCAGCAAGGCCACCAAGACCGGCGATCCTGGCATGGGATCCTACAGAGTGAGTCACCGCAGCAACATCAGTGCACATCAGCTTAGATTTAGTTTGTTCTGTCGAGCCATGAAGAAAGAGTTGGGTGGCAGCTCTGAAGGAATCCAGCTGGAGAAGATGTAAGAGAGGAAAAACAAGCGAGGAGTGGAAGACATCTGTTAGAAGATGCAGAGACTGTGAGGTGCAAAATTCTATAGAGATTTTAGACTCTAATATTTTCAAGGGAATAATCTGAGATTAGAACAGAAATTGTATAAATTTTTCATTTCAGTGGACAGACCTAAAGCTGCAGTTTGTAATTTTTGTAAAAAATATATTTTGATATTATATTTGTTCAAACTGTCACTATGTTGTGGCAGTATATGAAACAAATAGTCTGAAAAAATCGAGCTCTGCTGCCTCCAATCAGAAACAACCGATCAGAACCAGGAAGAGGGAGTTTATGCTGTCAATCACACATTTTAACAAATATGTTAAAAACATGTATATTTTCTTTTTTATAATAGTTCCAATCTGTGTCTTGAAAGAAAGTTGTTTTTCAAACAGATTTCTGGAAGTTTGTTCCAGATCAGAGGAGCTTTTAAAAGTCCAGCTTCACTAAAAGTATAAAATGTTTGGCAGGAAAAAAAATAATAAAAATAATAAATCACGATTTATACAGTAGATAAATTTATGTTGGGTGTTAAACTTTTTTTTTTTAAGTTAATTTTTCCAGAACTTTCCAGAATTATTACTTTTGTGTCTGAAAAATCCACATCTATGATTTCCTCCAAAAGCCACTATGATAAGTTGTGAAATATATTTTGTATTCATATTAACATCATTTCTAGTTTCAGGCTGTAAAAGCATGTCTTTAAAAGTGAAACTTGCTTCCGACTGGGTTCCAGTTGCATGTCACATGAGCAACATCTGTCTGCACAATTAGGGAGGATTAAACTGAGTTTCCTGTAATCCGCCCAACACTTCCATCATCCCCTCTGTGCAGATCATGCTGTTCGACCAGGAGAACTTCCAGGGCAGGATGATGGAGGTCCAGAATGAGTGTATGAACGTGTGTGACCGTGGCATGGATAGAGTGCGTAGTATCATTGTGGAGTGCGGCCCGTAAGTTCCCACACAGAGAAGTAATCCGAGCTCCTCCGACCTCTATGTACTTCTCTTCTTCGTGTGTGTTACTCTTTTCTGCTGTCCTCTTCCTCCCTTCCTCTGTGTTCATCCCTGAATCCCCTGTGCCCGGTCCCCTCGCCCCCCAACCCACCCGCCCGCTCTAGCTTCGTTGCCTTTGAGCAGACCAACTTCCGTGGCGAGATGTTCATCCTGGAGAAGGGAGAGTATCCTCGCTGGGATACCTGGAGCAACTCCTACCGCAGCGACTGCCTCATGTCCCTCAGGCCCATCCGCATGGTACTGTCAACACTCAAACTGAAAAGGGTGGTGTTATGTCAACAGGCTACTCCCTCATGAAAAACATACCTGGAGTGTTGCCTGGGTGGACCGAGTGCTGCCTCCGAGGTGCAGCTTCTCCTCTGAGCTGCAGCTTCAAAGCTTCTGCCTCGCGGAGCGGCTCTCACCCACAGCTCCTTCAGACTAGCTAGAAGCAATTAGCAAACACCAAGAGGAACTGCGCACCTGCTAAGTTCATTACAGGAGATACCTTTCAGTGCAATACTGGTAAAAATGTTGTGAAAGGATTCATAGAGGAGTCGCGTTGTGATGACTTCCTGAAGATGGAGCTTTGGAAAGAGCAGGTGCTTCTTAAAGAGACAGAAGCCCAATTTCAACATGCTAAGTTACAAAGTCAAATTTTTATGCCAAATTTGATGTATGCAGCATTTTATAACAACTGAAGATAACAAAGCTACTTTATTGTGCACTGTGTGACTAAAAAATACACAATACTGCACCTTTAATGAAAACATATGTCAGACAGGAGTATAATCAAGACTATTAAAAATGGAAATTTAAATGTCAATACTTTCTGTTACCACCCAAACAGACTTTCATTGAAGCCATATTTTATATCCAGTGAAAGGTGAAAAACCTTCAGCATAGAAAGCATTTCTCCATTCTTTGAATCCATTTAACCAGCCTAAGCTGAGCTGAACAAAGCTGAGCTTTCAATGTCTCTCTTTATAGAGCAGAACTGTGACCACATCAGAGCGGCTGAACAAAGGTTGGACTTTCAGTGTTTTTATTTAGGCTAAATTGAGATAGTACATGACAGGATATGTCGCTATTCACCAAATTCTGTTTACTGCTGTTTGAAGAACTACAGCCTTAACCGGATAAAAGCTTAATATTAATGATCACGTTTTATTTTTCTTTTAGGAGAAAACAACTTGTCGTTCTTCAGATTTGCATTGTCAGCCTTTTTGGGTCATTTTAAATTCAAACTATTCCTGACACATGTAGATTGTTATCTAAAAATAGCAACTCCAGTGAAGATGGTCTGCATTGAGGAAACTCAGAGAGCTTTAGTTGCAGTCCCTGAGGGCTAAAACTAGAACAACACTGCCCCCTGTAGAGTCACTGACAACACTGACACAAAGTCAGGAATCAATGCCAGGAATAAAATCTTTCTCTGTGTTTTGGTTTTCCTCCCTGCAGGACAGCTTGGAGCACAAGATCTGCCTGTTTGAGCTCTCCGACTTCAAGGGCAACAAGATGGAGATTCAGGAGGATGATGTGCCCACCCTCTGGGCGCACGGCTTCTGCGACAGAGTGGGCAGCGTGAGGGTGCCAGGAGGAGCGTAAGTGGACACACATTTGGTCAGGCAGACAGTTATTGATAGCTCCTTGGGGAGCTACAAATACCTAAACCATTCCCTCGAAAACTGCAAAGCTCTAAAAGAGATTCACAATCTATTGATTGACCTGCATAATGTCTAAAGATGCGGTCATAGGCCCTAAAATATGTATGAAGTGTCTGCTGTAATGTCACCAGTGACCTCAGACACAATGTACTATATTATGAAGTCCCAAAATAGACCTGTTTGCAAAACAGAGGACCAAATAACTTTTCTGCAGGAAACATAACTTGGTAATTTCTTTAAAGGTTCCACTAATGACCAATGAGGTCAAATAAGGCATCTCTTCTTAGTGACAGAAAACAATATTTCTTAGAACCTTGTTCCCTAAACTCTGTATTGACTACAATCATAACTGCTTGCCTTTCTGTGAGTCCTGCACAAGATCATAAGTGAGTTCAAGTAGCTCCAGTTGACCTTGTAAAATCATTCTCAGAGACTCTCAGAGATTAAAATGATCTATTTGTTAATGAGAACTTATTACAAGACCTCTGGAACCTCCTGCAATTAGAAGCTAAGTACACAAGGACACACATAACACTCCCTCCCTCTCTATGTGTCTCTCAGCTGGGTGGGTTACCAGTACCCTGGATACAGAGGCTACCAGTACCTGTTTGAGTGCGGTGACTACAGACACTACAACGACTTCTGCGCCTTCCAGCCCCAGATCCAGTCCATGCGCCGCATCAGGGACATGCAGTTCCACCAGAGAGGATGCTTCACCTTCACCACCGCCAGCAAGTGAAACACACCTGCTTGACGGCCTGGTGCTGCTGTAGCTCTCTCAGCTTTTTATCTCTCCAAGCTTCTTCTTTCTCCAATTCTCTGGTCCTTTCCTTGACCTCTGACAGCGTTGCTCCATCCCAAAGGAAAGAGAGATCGAGAGCAATACACTGGACATCATTAAGTGACTTTTTATGGTGCTAAAAAATAAACGTGAAAAACTTGATCCCTTTACGACTGGATAAGCTTTATTTATTTTACAAAAAGTGGTATGTTTTTGCATTTATACTGTGATATAACTCATTTGTTTATATCGTTCTTTTTTCTGCCCTGGCATCTGAGTCAAACATTCGGGTGGGTCTTGTGTCTCGGCAAATAAAATATTGATCCTCTTGACCTTAAATTCACGATGCACTTTATGTGGTTGAGGCAACAAACTGAACATGACAATTATAGAAGAATCTATTCTTCTAAAGAGGAGTATGATGTTGATTTATGTCGCTTGAACAGTTTGAAATGTATTCACCCCTGATGTATCATTGAACAAATCAGGATTTTTCATCAGCATGTTCTAATGAATTCCAAAGGATCCATTTACTGCTTTTTCCCCAATATAATTATTTTGTATTCCTTATGAAAATAAGAGAAAGCAAACTACATCCAGCACCAGGGGCAAGTGGTTTTGGTAACAACACACAGTGGAAACTTTAACATTTATTTTGAATTTTAGGCATCAGCTTCACATATTGATGCATTGCATTTATGAACAGTGCAGTGAAAAACATACCCTTTCAAAAAATTTTATTTTTTGCTTCAATTTAGTCACTTCAATGCTTTAAAATCATCAAAGAAAATTGAGGTCAGATTGAGATAATACATAAAATAAAAATCAGCTTTGAAATGATAACTTCATTTCTTCAGCTATGAAAGCAAACCTGCAAGACAAAATCAAATTACAATTATTACATAAAATGTAAAATGAAATAATCAACTTTTTTCCGATTCATGAAAGAGGTGAGTTGACTATATTTCTACTTTAACTCCAAAATGAAAACTCCAAAATGCTGCATTTTGATTGGTGTAAGTTCTGTGCTTTTCTAGTGAGGTCTGTTGTTTACGAGGTACAGTGAATCCAGCAAAGCGTCACGTGGTCCACATGCTTCCTTTGTCCTCTTTAGGTGTGCTCGTAAATGATAAAGACACGACTTTGAACGTAAGCTGTAAAAGGTCATACTAAATGTTAAGAGGTGAATTGAACAAGCAATTTTCGTTTTTGTACATAATTTTTTTAATTGGACATTTTAAGATTTTTATATGAATCGTCCATGTCGACTCATTCTGCGAATGATGCGCTTCCAACCTGATGCAGTAATAACGATAACGATAAAACCTGAAGGCAACACATGATTTCATAAACTTTCAGCTGGGGTTGTACGGTGAGGAAGGCATCATGTTGGCACTTTTTAAAGCTAGAAAAGGTGAGTTTCTAAGGACAAATCCAAAAGAAGACCAATGAGAAACTTTAAAACAAGCTAGAGAATCATGCTAGAGGCAAGTTAGTTAAGTGAGAACTATTTAACAGTATAATGGCTCAGCGCATGAACAACTGTATGCTCGCATCTTGGGTTACCTGACATCTGTAACTTCTGTAGTTTAAACTCAGTGAAACACAAACCTCTGGGATGTTCCTCTCTTCTCCCCACTGGGATTGGAAGCAAGTAGCGCGTTGTGTAGCTGTGTTTTTCAGTTAGCTCGTTGGCTAAGTACGCTTTACGCTTTCAGTTGAGCTGTAAAAATCAAAAACTGCTTCCGCTCCCGACTTGGTTACATAGAGGAAATCAGAGCACCCGGTGCTGCTGTTTAAATGTTGCGTTCAGGGGGTCATTCATTTGATAGAGGTGGCTAATGGTGGGAATGACCTTTCACCTATATAAGCAAACTATAGCTAGGTAGCTAGTGATGCGTTTAAAGACCCTGCTGCTGGTCAGTGCGATCTTCTCACTAGTGGATTGTGATAGATTAATAATGCTTTCATTTCTGCGGCCTAGTGTACCATAGTTTGATTATCGCTAACTACGTCAGTGGCAAAAGGGGTCAAAATAAGCCTCCCTAAGTAATTAGGTATTTGGCCCATTTTTGTGATATTTATTTAGATAAGAGAAGAAGTACTTAAAAATGAATCACTGTGTACAGATGGAGCCCCACCACTAAAATACAGTTCGAAACAAAATCCCACATTATCAAATAGGTCACTTTATTATATTACATGATACAGTTTCACTGCTAAATGCCTTTAATTTATATTTTTAGATATATTCATATTTATTGATAATCTCATTGAACCAACAATGGAGAAAAGAAAAGTTTGCTTCAGTTTCTGGGATAGGCAGTCAATGAAATTTAACATCCTGGTTTTATGAAATGTGTGTTGTTGTTGTTTTTTTTTTTATAAAGCAAACCAATAACTGGGATTGTAATTATTTTTCAGTTGCTTTCGGTGAAGAAATATTATTAGTACTTTGCTGCATTTCCTCTGGTTTTTTAACATCTCTCTCTTTTTTTGTCTTTTACTTAGTTATGTTAATCCCTGTCCGTGTTCCTCTGTCCTTCAGTTCTAGACGTCTGTCTCCACGCCAGCCGCAGTCTGTCCCAGCTGGCCGAGCTGCCGGAGACGCATCAGTTACTGAGGCAGACCTGCAGAGACTTTGCAGACAGAGAACTGTCCCCCATCGCTGCCAAGCTGGATAAGGAGCATGTTTACCCGGCTAAGCAGGTACTGTCACACACACAAATACACACAGCTGCTCAACAAGAGGATTTGTAAATGATTGAAAATATGTCAACTTTAGTTTAAGTAAAAAAAAAAAAAAATGAAGATTTGATTCAACAGAAAACTAGTACTGACTGTTATTTTACTATTCTAAAATGAATCTTGCACATTAAAAAAAGTAAGACTGACAGCTCGGTCTCTGTTCCTGTCTTGTTTTTAGAGGTGTGCTGATGAAATGTTTTCACTTCCAATACAATACAGATTTTGCAGCTTTGAGTTCTGGCCGATACCGACATCGACACCATGCGATAGCAGGACGAATAATCTATACTTTTACTTATTTTGTTAGAAAAGGCTTGATTTAAAGTGCTAGTTCCACTGGCAGATGACTTTATTTATAACAAAATACTTTCCCCATGTTATAAGTGAAATAATCTGCCAGTGGAACTATAATAACAGAATTATTAACTCTAAACAAGCTCATATCTTGCTAAAAACGTACTTAGCTTTGTCTTATTTCAAGTGTGAAACAAGATATTGCAGAAGAGGAATAATTATGTTTATGGTTCATAATTATATTATTTGGCATATTTTTATCAAAAGATGACAGAAACAATAGAAATACTTGGTAAGATTTTGTGCTTTTTGCTATGATTTTATGTAAACCTCTTTGAAATTCAACAGGTGAATAATGTCTGACATTAAAATAAATTTGAGCTGCAACAAAACCAAAGAAAATTGTTGGGAATCCAATAGTTTTTCATCATGCTCTAGGAATTTGTGTCCAAACAGGCTTTTTGTTTTGCATAGAAAGTATCATGATGACGGCGGCCATTGTTCTGCTTGTTCAGATAAAGGAGCTGGGGGCGATGGGTGTGATGGCCATGGAGGTGCCGGAGGAGCTGGGCGGAGCGGGGATGGACTACCTGGCTTACAGCCTGGCCATGGAGGAAATCAGCCGAGGCTGCGCCAGCACGGGCGTGGTGGTCTCCGTTAACAACGTAGGAGCAACCAGTCAGCACGGAGGAGCGAGGCAGACGGCGCTGGTCTAATGCTGGGACTGTTCTGTGATTCTCAGTCTCTGTACATCGGGCCCATCCTGAAGTTCGGCACAGAGGAACAGAAGAAGCAGTGGATCAGCCCGTTCACTGCTGGAGACAAGGTGGGCTGCTTTGCCCTCAGTGAGCCAGGTAACCATAGCTACCGTTTGTAGCATCATATTGTTTTAGCAACAGAACATCCATGAAAATGGAAGACAAATGAGAACATACAGATGCATGTTTTACTGTAAGCTAGCTGGTCAATCTATCGACCAAATTGCTATAATTTCCTTTTGTGTTGTATTTATATTCTTTGTTTTGTATTTAATTTGTATTTTTTTGTATTTTGTGTATGCTTACTGTGTGCCACATTTTTGCCTGTGAGCTGCTGGTAACTATAATTTCCTGAGGGAGTCTTCCCAAGGGATCAATAAAGTCAAGTCTAAGTCTAGGTCTCTAAGCTAGCCTGCATGATTATTATTATGTGATTAATTGATTACTGCTTGAGCAAAAAGTCTTCAGTCAGAGGTCTTTCTGGATTTGTTGCAAGACTGTCTGCTACTGGAAATCCTTCCTGTCCACAGCAACTCTTTGAAGACTCTTGAATTACATGAGCTATGACTAGATATAATTTCCCTTGGATATAAATAATGTTGCTTTTTATTGAATTGAAATCATTGATTTACTTAGTCTTTCACACTCAGGTCATGGCTGCTTGTTTATTTATTAAAAGCAGACCCTACAATCTGTTGGGACTGAAATAACTAGAAAATGTCTTTTTTTCTCATTTCTTTTGACCTGATTATTACTAGCTTGTCCTGAAGCTTAAAACCATAGCATATGTTCTGTTTTCCACGACTTTGTCTTTGTTCCAGCAGTCATTCAATAGTAATGCAGTTATCTAACGTGTGAACCTAAACGTCAGGAAACGGGAGCGATGCGGGCGCTGCCTCCACCACGGCCCATCAGGTGGGAGAGGAGTGGGTGCTGAACGGAACCAAAGCCTGGATCACCAACAGCTGGGACGCTTCTGCTACGGTTGTGTTCGCCACCACGGACAAGAAGCTCAAACACAAGGCACGGGAGTGAGGCATGGGAGTGAGACACGGCGTTTCTGTGTGCAGAGAGAAAGCAGCGTCCTCTAACTTCCTCCCCTCCGTTTGTGTCTGCAGGGAATCAGTGCCTTCCTGATCCCCATGCCGCATCCTGGACTCTCTCTGGGAAAAAAGGAGGACAAGCTGGGCATCAGGGCCTCGTCCACCGCAAACATCATCCTGGAGGACTGCAGGATCCCTCTGAACAACATGCTGGGGCCCCGCGGCGCCGGATTCAAAATTGCTATGGTATTCTAATGCTTCGTCACTACTGCAGTCGTACATCTTCACATTCAGCCCCTCCTGCTGCTCTCTGGCTGGATGGTGGCTGAGCATCCACTGTGACTGACTGAGAGAAGCAGGTCACACGAACAGGAATCAGACAGGAATGAAATGATTTATTGATTATTGAAATAACAAATTTAGTCAGCGATTAGGCATCAACTAGACTGTACAGATAAAAGAAGGCAATTTGCTGAAAGAACTGTTCAAAAGTGTTACATTTTTCAAAATAAGAAAAGAAAAATCTGTAAATTTGTTCTACCAAGAACTCCTCAAGTGAAAGTTTTAGCTTCCCCCTGGCTCAAATTCTGTTCTGTATAAGAAATCTCATTTAAAGCTTGTTTTGCTGTCTAATTACTCATAAATTAATTCCCCCCAAAAAATCAGCAGATCAGCCCCACATTGTATTGATAAATCCAGCAGAAAGGCCTGAGGGTATGTTTCTTTAGCTGCAGATGCTTCCTTTATTTGAATGATCAAGTGTTTACTGAATGAATTCAGTTGCTGTATTTTAGGCAAAAAAATTTTGTTTTCTTATTTAAAAAGAAAAAAATATTTAATTGCCAGTATTTCTAATATTGCAAGATTTAAAAAATATGCAGAATGTGACTATTTTGTTTTTTAATCTATTCGTCGTCAGAATAATGTTGTATGAAATGTGAAGATGACTGGAAGCAGCTAAAAGTCTCACTTTTTCTGTCAATATGAGAAAAACTTCAAAAATAGCTTGTTTTCTTAACATGGTATTATTTGCCAGGAAAAAAAAACTGAGTTTGGTTTTAAAGATAACTTTATGGAGTTCTCTAATTTTCAAGAGTTTTGCATATTTAAGTGCAAATAACGATGCGTTTGTGTCCTCTGGTGGTGTTTACATCTGACTAAGCTGTATGACGTTTGTGCGTCCCTCAGCAAACCCTGGACAGCGGACGGATCGGCATCGCGGCCCAGGCTCTCGGCATCGCTCAGGCGTCTCTGGACTGCGCCGCCGACTACGCACACAAGAGGACCGCCTTCGGAGCGCCCATTGGCAAGCTGCAGGCCATCCAGGCAAGACCAGTCGCATGCTGGACTTCCTGTTAAAGGCAGAGCTAGAGCTGCTTTTAGTCTGATTTATTTCAGTGTTGTGCGTTAAAACGGATTTCGGACAAAACAGAAGTTCAATTTAGGAGTTTATAAACTTAGAATCTTAATACAGTTTGTTAATTCCAGGGTGTCATTCCCTCAGACTGAACTCTCTTGTTTTTCTCGGTGTTGGTCTGATCCAGTTTAAACTGGCTGACATGGCCGTGGCCATAGAGAGCGCCCGCCTGCTCACCTGGAAAGCTTCACTCCTTCGAGATGCAAAGAAAGCCTTCACCAAGGTGAACTGTGGCCCTCTGCACAATGGAACACACTCAACATTTCAATCTGACGTCATTCAGACACCATTGTTACATCCCTGAGTGACGACATTTCTCTGACTGTGTTTTCCCACAGGAAGCAGCCATGGCCAAACTGGCGGCATCTGAAGCCGCCACGTTCTGCTCCCATCAGGTAAGGAAACGGCAGACGGAGGCCTGGAGCAGAACTAAAACGGCGGCCGGTGTAAAACCTTGCTCTGTGTTGTGACTCAGGCCATCCAGATCCTGGGCGGGATGGGCTACGTGACGGACATGCCCGCTGAGAGACACTACCGCGACGCCCGCATCACAGAGATCTACGAGGGCACCAGCGAGATCCAGAGACTGGTCATCGCCGGTCAGATCCTGAAGGAATACCAGTCATAGGAGTTCTTCTACACTAAATGGACACTTTATCCTGGATGAAATGCAGTTGTTTAATTTTTTTGTTTGTTTGTTTTTCCAACGGTAAAGGCCTTTTGGTTGACATTAGCTGAGGCTTGGAGAGAAGATTCAGGTGGTTTTAAACCAGCAAGATATTCTGGCATTGATTGAAACACACTAGAAATGAAATTAGAGCTTTACTGGCCAGTTCTCAAAATATTTAAAATCGGGGCATCTTTTCTCCAAATCTCATATTCTAAGTGCAGAGGCTTCTGGGTTTATGTTGACATTCTGTTCCAAACCATTCCCAGAATCCTTTTTTTAAATTTATTTTTATTTTTATTCCACTGCTCATCATGTGCCATTCAGAGGTCCGACCACCAGGGGGCGACAGAGAGCCTCCGTGCGTCTTGACCCATTTCTGCATCCTGACATCAGGAGCGGTTGTGTAATAGCAACAGTGTGATCACACTTGCAGATCATCAGAATGTTTAGTTCTCTGCTGCGTTAAAGACGCTCTAATTGAAACAGTTTTGATTCATTATCTGAAGGTGTGTGTGATGACACACCGTGTGTTTGCCTCACACGCCTTTCAGCGCTCAGCATGTACATATTTGATTGTAATTTATTATGTGCAGGTGTTAATAAAAGCGCAGCGGTTTGAGCTTGAGACGATGGTGGGAAGAAGCAGCTTGTGTGTGTGCGCTATCTGCCGCCTACTTTGTTGTCCCCTGTGTGTACGTGGGTGTGTGTGTGTGTGAGTGATTACTCCTTTCCTCTCCATCGCTCCACGTGAAGGCTCTGACTGCTGATCTAGGTCAAGATTCCGGATGCTGGAATGGCTTCCTGCTGATGGTGCTGACGATAGGGAGCATTGTTCGCTGCAGCCGCGCCGCTCGTTTATCGCGTGTGAAACGCCAACCTGATTAACCGAACCTCAGTTTAATAGTCCTATTTATTTCCCTTATTTCACACACAAACAGGAGCTTTTACACAAGCGCTTGGGGGGGGGTCAAGTCCCTGAAGGTTTCCTCTAACAGGCTGTGGTAGATCTTCACACACAAGAACTTCTTTTTTGAAGTTGAAACTTTAATAAAATGTTTTTATATACATTTACATAAGAACTATATATATGTATATCTGAAAGGTTTGCTATGTAACTTGATAAGTCAATAATAATGTGTGCACTCTTAAAGTGACACTTTGCTGAAGCAACTTTTCATCCATTGTTGGGTCAGTCAGTTTAACAGGCTGCTGAAAGCCTCTGTTTATGACATGCAGACGATTGAAAAACTTTGATTTACAGTTTGCCAGACTTTGTGTGACGTTGCCATGGACAACACAATGAAATATTAAAATGACAGGAAAAAAAATGGAAGATATAAAAAGTTCTTTGGATGTTGTTTATCAGCTTAAACTGTTTGGAGTAGTTAGTTGGAGAACTTGTTTGGCTCCAGAACCCCCTCTAAATAAAAATGTAAATTGGTTGCTGTTGAAGTAGCTTTTATTTATTTTTGTTATGCATGGTTGAAAAAAAATTCCTGAATCTCCCACGGCAACCATTCTGGTGAGCCTAAATTTCTGCTCACTCAAGCAGCCACCTATTTCCACAAAGCTCCTCCTTGGTGAGGCTGAGTCTCACCACTCGGCTCCTTCAGACTAGCCAGCAGCCATTAGCAAACACCTGGTGGAAGTGGTAGAACACCTGATTGTGTCAAGCAAACTTCCACTCAGCCAAAGCTCAGAAGGATGGTTGTAAATGGCATACTGGAGGAGCCATGTTGTGATGACTGAGCTGGAGCTTCTTAAAGAGACAGATGCCCAATTTCAAGGCAATAAATTACAAAGTCAAACTTTAAGTCACATTTAATATACAGCATTTTTGTAACAACTGAAGGTAATAGAGTTAAGCTATAAAATGGCTTTATGTGTCTGGAATAAAACATCACTTTTAAATTTGTTCAAATTTGATCAGTACTGAACAGGAAAAGAAACCATAGATAAAAATGATCTGATTGAAATGGATACAGTCATAAATTGCTTTAGGTCCAAAAGACTTAATAAATGGTTGCCATGGAGCTGTGGAGCAGCTCGGACTGACATTCCCCTCCATCAAGTTAATGCTCTGGGCGTGGTGACCATCTCTAGTCAACCCTCTCATTTATTAATTTGTTGTTTTCCCCATGTTTCTATTTCTACATGTAAATGTTTTACTAAAGGCTTTGGATGTAGAGATGGCTCTCAGTATTTACTTCCTTTTCCTGTTGGAGCCATTTCCTTTAAATCAAATCTGCTTTGTTTCCTTTCCATCCTGAAGAGATTCTAACAGAAATGTGCCCATCCCAAATTATCGTCATATATTAATGCAACTCATTCAAAGTTCACTCTGATTGTCTTAATTTCTTTCCCCCCACACAGACTTCATTGTTATGTGTAAAATAATCCCTGGTGAAAGTAACTCTCCACTAAATGAAAGATCAGATCTTTGTTTCTGAACTGAAGTTTGTTCCCTCAGCCTTCCATGAGTATTGCTATATATAATTCATATTTCTTACCTCATTTCTTTTTCTAAGGAAAAACAATATTTCAAATATCACATGAGACTTTTTTTATGTAAAAAGAAAATACAGTACATTTTGCTTTATTGTTTATAAGAAAAAGACATCTGTACAAGAAGTGACAAAAAACACAGTAGAAAACTCAACCAGAACACCTGCTCAGTTTTACAGTCAGTGACTGGGTCGGAACCTCTCCACAGTTCTAATGATCTGGTTCTGATTGTCCTCAGAGTTCAGGCTCCTGGGGGCTGACCCGCTCCGAACCGCCTCAGTAATTTACCTTCATTTCAACAACACACACACACATATATATAGAGATTTTTCTTTTTTTACAGGCTTTTCTCCTGCGACCTTCTGAGCTCCGGGTCAGCGAACCGCCCGAAACCGGACGGGCTTCTGCCCGACTAAAAGTCCCCTGAACCAAAGTGTCCCCCAGCGGGTTTAAACGTAGTGCTTCTTGTCAAACTCGCCGCTGACCGCGATGGTTTTGGTGGGAGCCAGTTTGATGGGGAAGGGCCCCCGGGCCCCCTGGGAGAAGGAGCAGCAGAGCAGCGTGCCGCCGGACAGCAGCAGCGCGGCGGCGGCCCAGCCGATGTAGATGGACGCGCCGATCTCCCTCTTCTGAGCGGGGGGGACCTTCGGGTTGTGGAAGTCCGTGATGATGTTGTTGGCCATCCAGCAGAGGGGCACCAGCACGAAGAGCCCGCAGAGGATGTAGAGGACCCCGCCGGCGTACACCACCCGCCTCTTCACCGCCTCGTCCTTCAGGCAGTTGGTGCACTGCGCCCCGGCCACCGTCACCGTCAGCCCCACGACCCCCAGCACGGCCGAGATGACGGTGAGGGCGCGGGCCGTCTGCAGGTCCTGCGCCAGCGCCAGCACCGAGTCGTGGATCTTGCACTGCATGTGTCCGGTGCTCTGCACCACGCAGGACATCCACAGTCCCTCCCAGATGGTCTGCGCCACCACGATGTTGCCCTCGATGAAGGCGTTCACCTTCCAGGTGGGCAGCCCGCAGGCGATCATCACCAGCAGCCAGCCGGCGACGCACAGGATCATCCCCAGGACCTCCAGGCAGGCGGCGAACATGGTTCTGGTTCTGGTTCTGGTGCTAGGTTGTTCTGATCAGTTCTGCTGAGTCCCTGAGACGTGCTGCGCTCCTTTCTGGTCACAGCTGGTCGGAGAAGTTCTGCTCAGGGCTTTTATTCAGCATTGGATCAGAAACACACACACACACCCACACTACATCACACACACACATCGGCAAAACTTTGGGCCAATCATCAGCGGAGGCAGCTTTGCGTCAGCTAATGAGGAGGATGAGGAGGGCGGCGCCTGTCGCACGTGCTCATGTTGACCCCGGGGAATGTTTACAATTCAGAGGTGGCGCCCCCTCCCTGAGGGCCCCTGGGGGGGCCTGGGGGCCCCTCACGGCCCCGCCCCAAACTCCCACGAGACCGGAAAGCTTCCCAGTGTTAGAGGATAAAATGTGGCTTCAGGTCGATACAGAAGATCAGGGCCACAAGAAAAAAGAAAAGATTTCTGACATTCTTTTGGAGTTCAGGCTCATGTATCTCGGGGTAATTCCTCAAGAAGCTTTAAAAAGAAACAAATATCTATTTTATTAACAGCGAGTAAGAAAAACAAGAAAATGGTTATCACAGGACAAAGCAACTGTAGATGATGACTGGATGGACATGATGCTCAACATGTATGAAATGGTAAAAATAAACATCCTCTTTCAATCACAACACTGAACGGTTCTGACGTAAAACCTGAAAGATCTGATTTCATTTTTAGAGATCAAACTTGTTCAAACTTCTCCTAAGACAGCCATATTTTAGAATTATTTATACTATATTGTTTGTTAGTGTGTTTTTCTCTGTGGTTTGCTTTTTAGATTTCTGGCTTTATTAGTTTGATTTTTTTTTTCTCTACTTCTTTCACTCTCTTTTACTCCTCACCTTATAATCTTTCTCAAGGAATGTAGTTCCATTTTTGATTTGACTGTTAGAAGGCAGAGTTCTACTTGTGCTCCTTCTTTCACATGTTGGAGTTGATTTTGTGATGTAGATGCCTAAGACCATGTAAATGATACTTTCTTGAGAATCAGTAAAGATTAAATAAAAAAAGAAAAAAAATACAAAAGATTTTTGACTTAATTCCCAGAATTCTGATGGATTTTGTTCTGAAATTCTGAATTTTTTTTCCCTGGGACTCTGGAGTTTTCCCCTGGAATTCTGTCCCTGGGAGAGACGCTTCACCCAGCCGCCTGCTTTTCTGACCTACATAAAGAGCAAGCCAAGCAGCAAAACAGAGCAGTGATTCTATCTTTTTTTTTTTGGAATGTGGTCACACATTTCACTTATAAAAATTTCAACAAAAAGAAAAAAAAAGAGAGGGGCGGGGTCAGTCTAAAATTGGCATGCAAGGGCTGGAAATGAACAACGGTTGAGTTTCTCTGTGCCGCCATGTCTGATGTTTACTGCAGCAGAACCAAGCGTGCTGATTGAAGCCGCGCCACACCCGCTCTAATCACACCGCCGCCTTCTGAGCACTGCACTCACTCTGTCTAATTCAGACAAACATGTTTGAATCATAACGGCTCAGGGCCACGGTGCTGGGCTTTCCGTTGACTCACCCACAGGGATCTCTGAGGCAGATAACACAGAATGGAAGGAGGAAGAGGTGTGGTTCAGCGATAGCATCTCTGCTCTCTAATGAACACTTGGCCCAAAACGTGGACCTGGAGGTGGAAGTGATGCCCAGCAACAGAAACCATTATATTCTAACAAGTGGGCCAGAGAAGCAGCAGGGGTTGATAACAGATCAGAGCCAGTTGGTGACACATTGCACAGAGATTTATGTAAATGATTTGAAAAACACAGCTTTCAAATGAATTATCTGTAACTTTATTTTCCAGTCAGCTTTGCTTACTCGGCTCAAAATTTGTGCTGCCGTGTCTCTGGTGACCGTGCTCTGGGTGACATTTTTCACAAGGAAGTTGTGAATTGAAAGAGCGGATGTGGGAAACAGTGGAAGGCCAAGAAGTTCAGTAAGCCAACCAACACGAATAGTAAACCTCATGACTGCTGGACAGTTTGCCCCTCATAACTGATATCGCCCTCTCCTACTTTCATTTTGCTCCTTAAAGGGGCAGTATCATGTAAATTAGACATTTTGGAGCTGTACATTATGTTATGATGTTATTCCCTCATCTAAAACACACCTGGCATGTTTTGATTCTTTCATGCATGTTTGATAAATCCATCATGGCAACCATTAAGCTGTGCAAAACGCATGCCCCGCCGTCGAGACACAGCTCCTCCTCGGAGCTTCAGCTTCCAAGCTCACAGAGCATCTCTCCCCTTCACTCCCCCATTCAGCTCCTTCAGACTAGCCAGCAGCAATCAGCAAACACCTGCTGGAACTGCACATCTACTGAGCTCACTAGTTCCACTGGCTGATGATTTCACTTGTTATAATACATTTTTATAGATGAAAATTATCTGCCAGTCGAGCTATTACTAAAAAAAAGGGGGAAAAAAAGCAATATTAAGGAAATATTGACTTAAAAACTCATATATCTTGCTTAAAAGTTACTTGTAAGTTAGTTCGGCATGTTTCCAGTGTATATTTTTGCACTAGTAAACCGATCAAAAATACTTGGTAAGACTTTGTGTTTTTGCAGTGTTGCCAGGGTATGTAAACTTATGAGCCCAGTTGTAGATAGAAACGTGTGCAGGAAATGACCTGCCAGCTAAGAATGTAAAGCCAAACCTGCTGCTGGTCATTCAGTCTGAACTGGACGCCTGTGTGATGACAAAGGAAATGTTCCTTCAGAAAAACACAATCAGCTCCACACCTGGAGATCTCATTACTGCAGTGCACACACAAACACAAACACACACACACATGCACAAACACACACACACGCGCGTGCATGAAGCAGAACATGTCATGATGTCACGTAGCAGGTGAGTGGGTCAGAGTTGCTGTGCTCTGACCGGATAAATAAGCCTGGAGAATGTGTCTTAATCAACAGTGAGACAGTGGAGACGGCCAGCAAACTCAATAAGGGGAGCAAACTATTGTCATCGTGTGTGTGGGTGTGTGTGTGTGTGTGTGTGTTCTGAGTGTGTGTTTAAAAAGCCAGATGTTTCCTCTTCTCTCTCTTTGGTTTAATGTTCACGGTTGCTCAAAAAACAGCATCCTGCTTCTGCAGGCTCCAAAATATCTGATGTTTACCTCCTGGACTGTAATAGACCGAAAGCCAGCGGGTCAGTGTGTGATGATGGGGTTTCACCACCTCTTCTTATTAAGGTTTATTATATTTATTTGGTTCTCTCTTTTTGGGCCTTCCTGTTTTATTCCGTTCAATTCTCATCTCCCCTTCACAGACATTCTCAGCTTTCTGCCATTGACTTGGATTCCTCCTGCAGATTTTTCTACCAGACCAATCAGCGAACAGGACAAGTTGTGAACGATGACATTGATTTTGATGACATTGTCTGGAGTTTCAGCGACGGCAGCAGAGGAAGTGAACGAAGCCGCTTAGTGGTGTGGGTCACGATTCCAAACATTGAATGAACATCAGCAGCTTTGTTCGGCTGGAGACACGTCTCTCTGTGCATTAAAGCAGGGTTGCTCCAAGCGCAGGCAATTTCTGCTTCATAAACTTCATAGCATCGAACTGATGCATTACATGCGTCAAGGGCAAATGTTAGTGACTGGGTTAAATTTAAAACATCAACTTCCAGGAAGCAATTGTTTCTGCAACAGCTCAGAACCTTCTTGGGGCAAGAAAACAGGGCCACCAAATGCCCTGCTGTGCTGCCCTTTAACCTTTTACAAAGTCTTTTGTGGCACTGGTGGTCTTCATTCACAAAACAGCAAACAGGTACAGGGTGGATGATGGAAGACGCAAGTGAGACTGACAGGTTGTTCTACAACAAAGCGCTGACTGGACGTCTTTCATCTTTCTTTCTTTTGGAAAATAAAGAAAGATGTTGTGATAATTATCTATACGGTCAAATACCAAGAAAATACTTTGAAGTCTGTGTCACATGACAAAGAGCTGGGAATACTTGAGCAACAAAGCGGTGAAGGCAGTGCAAAGACCTCTACTGCAAACAGTCTGTTCGAAAGCAGCAAAGGAGTTAAAAATCATTAACCTGAAGGAAGGAAACCTGAGCAATCTTTATATTTACGTATGAGTTCCTGCTGTGGAGCTAAATATTCCCGTTCTGTTATAGCAAACACAACGTCATCAGAGAAGCATAAAAACAATCTACAGTGCAGCTGATCATAACTGCACTGTTGTGATCAGCTGCAGCAGCAGCAGCAGCAGCAGCAGCAGCAGCAGCAGCAGCAGCTGCAGCAGCAGCAGTGTGCCAGAGGCCTGAGACGTGTTAGGATGTCCTGTGTCTTATCACTTCCCTGTGACTCCATTGTTCTCCAAGCCAGCAGGGAATGTTGACCTCCTCCTTTTCCACATCAGCCCTTTTTTATTATCCACCATCAAATGTCACCTGCTGATGCTGCCTGCCTCGCGTTGTTTTATGATGTTTTGTTGATGCTGGTTTGTCTGGCAAAGAGTTTGAACGTCTGCTGGGTTGGTGATAAAACTACATTGCCGTCATTGCTGACGGAGTCCAGCAGCAATGACGAACAATGACGAACAACGACATACTGTAGGTCTAGATATTCACACACAGAATAAAATTGCAAACTTGTATTTTTCTCACTGTTTGAATTTAAATCTGACCAAACTTTTCTTGTTTTTGCTTAGTTGTAATTACCAAAATTAATTCTTTGTGCTAAATGCCAGAAAACTTGGCAAGAAATTTTTTTTAGATTTGTTTGTTGTAACTTTCTGTTGTAACAAATTCAAAAGTGTACATACATTTTGTCAATATTAGGCATTTTGTTCAAATTTATTTACTTAATATTTTTGTGGGGTTCAGGTGGGGTTTATTTGCAGGTTACTAATTGCCTATTTTATTTATTTATTGGTTGATTGATTGATTTTTATGAGACAGGAAGAGCTCTGGGTCCATTACCTTTGAGTGCAAGGACTGGTAAAGGACCAGCATGCATTGGGTTTGGGGCATACGTTTTTTTTGTTTGTTTTTTTACCAGAGCAGGAGAGACAGCAGGAAACAAAGACAAGTTTGATTTTTGTTATGTTTTTG